AAGAGCATCCTGGATGAACCAGACTCTCCTTTGGAGGTTAGTTTGACAAATTTATTCTATACCATTAAAAAACAAAACAACTCATTTATAAATATTAATGAAACACTTGCTTATCCAGCAGTGGTTTTCAAACATTCTGCCAAAGAAGCGCAGGCACAATAAAAGGCATTGTATTGGTTCATTCGTGAGTTATGAATATAAATGCATAAATAGAAATTAACCAGGAGTATTTGGCAGTAGCACATGTTGTTCCTTTTACGGAAGTCTCAGATTTGTTGTTTTATTAGTTTACTGGTTAGTATTTTGGTTTTCAAGTGACGGTGTCAGCTCTTTTGATAATTCGCTGTCCATGGTGCTGAAGCGTTGAGGAGCTTTGAATATCTGATTTGTGCTTTTCCCTCCTTTTATTTAATAGATGGATTTTAAAATCCGATATTTAAGCTATTAAAAGTTTAAATCTGATCATCATTTAGAGTTGTTTTAACAAAACTGTAGCTTCCACTACATTATCCACTTACATCTTCCCTTCGAATAAGCTTTTGGTTAATTGCGTCTAATTTGACCCTTGCAAAACTAGTAATCTTGCACTGCATGTATACAACATATAAAAACGGGTTCATGCACAAGTCAGACAATTTGTTGAGGGGGTTGCAATTCCACTGCTCAGTCGTCGTTGACAAACTTTATTTATTTAATTTTTTTCACTAGAGAGAGAACTTTCAGGTTAAGTAATTATATGTTGAAGAAAATATATTACATTTGAAATATGTTTTGGTTTATTGTGGATTTGCACATTTGTTTCAACAACGCAGTTTTAAGCTTAACCGGAACATGGTGAGTGACTTTGAAGAACAACAAACTAATGTAGTTTGATACGTGGTGAGGGAAATTCCTTATTTTAACCTCCAAGTGACGCTGTTGTCTGGTGAATCCATTATGACAGGCACTTTGATGCAGGGCTGTACCCTCCCTCACCATTGCATTTTACATCAGCAGAAGACGTTTTTGTCTGTCCTGCTCTCTTTCATCAAACACACATCAGTTTTACAATTTTAATACAAGAATAAGTAAAGGTGGAACTGTATTTTGGCACCGAGCTGAAACATCTATATAGTTTCTTGGTTTGCGTGACAATTTTGTCTTTCCATGGAATTCAACGAACAACGTCGAGGCACTGGGGTAAAATGGCGAATACAACGTACTGCGAAGCTGTTCATTTTTCAGTGTATTTTCCTTCATCAAGTCGGGGCTCAAATCCGGTACTCGATTCCAGAGGAACTGAAGACGGGATCCCTTGTTGGTAACGTTGCACAAGACTTAGGTTTAGATTTAACGAGGCTGCGTTCTGGTGGGGCCCGGATCGTTACTGGGGAAAATGTCCAGTACACCCAACTGAAGACAGACAAAGGCACTTTGGTTGTGAACGAGAGAATAGACAGAGAGCAGCTGTGCGGAGATGTTACACCGTGTAGCTTTACGTTTGAGATTTTGTTGGAAAAACCAATGGAGCTGCATCCAGTTACAATAGAAGTGCTGGATGTCAACGACAACGCTCCCACTTTTCAGAACAGCCATTTGGAATTTGAAATAAGCGAATCTGCGGCACTCGGCTCCCGTTTTGTTTTGGAGAGTGCGGACGACGCGGATGTTGAACAAAATGGTCTACAGAATTACGTTTTAACTCCAAATGATGTTTTTTCTTTGAAACAACACGTTAACGCTGACGGAAGTAAATACGCTGAAATGGTTCTGCAAAAAAATTTAGATAGAGAACAGCAACCCCGTCTGTCTCTAAAGCTGTTAGCTGTGGACGGTGGGAACCCACAAAAATCTGGCACCGTAAATATAGACATAAACATTTTGGATGTAAATGATAATGCTCCTGTCTTTAATCAAACTGTTTATAAGGCGACTGTGATTGAAAATGCGCCAAAAGGGACTCACGTTATCACAGTTAATGCAACCGACATAGACAGTGGTTCAAACGGAAAAGTAACATATTTCCTCTCTAAATCTAAAGCAGGGGTCTCACATTTGTTTGACATAGATGGAGTTACAGGAAAAATATATGTGTCAAACGAAATAGATTTTGAAAAAGACAAAAAAATTGAGTTTAGGGTTGAAGCTAAGGATCAGGGAGGACTGACGGACTCAAGCAAAGTTGAAATAGAAGTTATAGATGTCAATGATAACGCTCCAGTTATTAACGTCATGTCGTTCACTACTCCTGTTTCAGAGGATTCTCCTATTGGTACAACAGTTGGTATAATTAATGTTAAAGATCTAGATTCGGGTGAAAATGGTCAAGTAAGGTGCAAGATTGAAGGCTCTGTTCCTTTTCAAATTAAATCCAATGTCAGAAATTACTATGCTTTGATAACTGATGCCGAATTGGACCGTGAAGTTATTTCAGGGTGTGACATCATTGTCATTGCTTCTGACGCAGGCACACCTTCCCTGTCATCCAAAAGAACTTTCCATTTGAAGATTTCAGATGTCAATGACAACGCTCCAGTTTTTCCACAAAATTTTTACAGTGCTTTAATAGCTGAAAATAACGCTCCAGGTTTTTATGTATTAAGTATTAAAGCAAAAGATCCAGATGAAAACCAGAACGCCCGTGTTTCCTACATTTTGGAGGAAAGTGAGATTAGTGGGTCGAAGATATCTGAGTTTGTCTCTGTAAATGCAGACAATGGAATCATTTGTGCACTTCGCTCCTTTGATTATGAGCAGATAAAGGAGTTGGTATTCCATGTCAAAGCTCAGGATGGAGGCTCTCCTCCACTCAGCAGCAACGTGAG